TTTATCACTACACACTCCCCGTGTACCATCATCTGGCATGCCTTTTTCAGAAGAGGTCTTTCTGAGATTATTTTCCACACCACATCAAGCGCTTCTGGGCCCTGAGTAGCATGAAGCAGCAGGCTCCCGTGAGGAGGGCTTGGCCGGGCACAGGCGCCTTCCCTGAGCTCCGGGAACGGCAGTCGGGCACCGCCCTCAGTAGGCCTTGCCTTGCTGGTTCCTGGTTCTCTCCCTGCTCTTGGCCCCGCAGCCTTCCTGTGGGCCAGGGAGGGGTCTGAGCGAAGGTGTGAGTTGGAACTGTTTCTTCTGCAGACTTCTGTGGTCCTGGAAGGATAAGTGCTTGTTAGTGCCTTGCTGAACTGACCCAGCTGACTTCATATTTTGACAGTATTCATCATGAAGAGAATTCCAGGGATTTTTAAAGGATCAAAAGTCCAAGGCAAAAAGAAACAAAACGTTTTATAGTTTGTACTTACTGACCGAGGATTTTGGTTAACTAGCTGTTTCTCTAGTAGGAATTGTTTAAACCACCATGTAAACTTCTTCTGTTGAGAATGAGACACTGATAAATTATTTGTAGTCAGTAACTCATGAGCATAATGATGAAATTTAATCTTACTATTGAAAAATCGCAGTTCCATTCATTAAACAGATATTGACCTTTTGTGACAAATACTATATACTCCATTGGAGCTGAATAACCAAATATTCTTATCAGTTCTTAGAATTCTTGCCAGTTCTTAAAATTGGTAAGACTTTTAAATAAATTGTTCTGCTATAAATTGACATTTAAAAATTTAGATAATTGGTAATAATTAGGATGCAGAAGCACTAAAAAAAAAAAAAAAGTATCTGTAACGTATCTATGAAGGATTTACCAGAAAGCTGAAAAACAGAATTAATTTTGTGGAATAATACAGTAGTAACTGTTTAATAAAGTAGTTCTGCTTTTTAAGGGAGTTTTTATTATAATTTTTAATTGTAATTGTAAGTGATGATAACAGACATAAAGTAACACTGTGATAATATAAATGATTAGATGCTAAATTTTGTGTAACGAATTTAAGTACTTGAGAGTTGAGATAAAGGAGCCACCTTGGGAAGTGGTAGTTGGGAAAACGCTTGCTGGAGGTGATGGGACTTGTACAGATGGATGAGATTCTTGAGAACAGGGGTAAAGGAGACTATCTTAGCAAGAGGGCAACTCAAGCAAGGAAAGAGGGTGCGTCTGCCCGCCCCAGCTCCACGTGGGCGCATGGCAGGACGAGCTGAGTGGTGGGACACGGCGCTCGACCCCTCCCTGGCTTCCCAGGTGCCTCAGCGGTAAAATGTGGATGGTACAGGCGCGGACTCTGCGGGGCGACTGTGAGACGGAATGCGATGCTGAGAGTCAGGTTGCTGGTGCACAGGAAGTGTGCAGTGGACCGAAGTTGCTGTGGCTGTTAGGGAGGATGGAAGGGCAAGACTGCTGGGTGTCAGTCATGTTCTGGTGTGACGGGAATTAGGAAGCCCCTGCAGCACTGCCCCCAGGTAGCCCCCAGGTAGGATGTGACCGGATAAACTGAGAGTGGTAGGTTTGCCTGCTCTGCTGTGCTGGGTGCTTTGTCTCCGTCATCGTGTGCCTCTCCTTGGCCCTGCGCGGAGCTGGGGGACTTTGTTCTTCGCGGCTGTGAGGGAGGTGACGAGCACCTCCCCAGGGCCACCCGGCCACCTCTTGGGAAAGCAAGGTTTGAACCCAGACCTGCCTGGTTCCAAAGTGTAGGCTCGGGCTGATGATCCTGTGGGGAAGCGGTGGCTGGCTCAGGTCATTGGCACTGTTACTGAAAGGTGGGTGGGTTCTGACCCCACTTGCCAGAAAAAAGGAGGGGGAAGAAGAGGAAAGAAGATAGTAACCCAGCAGTGGGAAAAGAGACAGAACCCGGTGATTGGCTGTCAGAGGGAAGAGGATGAGGTGAGTTGGAGGTGATGGTGCAGCTGGAAATGAAGGCAGGAACTGGTGGTCCCTACATTCCCCACACCTGGGTTCAGGCTTCAGAAAGCTCAGGCACCATGGCTGGAGTCCCCAGGTTTCTTGGAAGGATAGTTTCCTGTATTTGGGAAGCTTGTCACTTCGGGGCTCACAGGAGTCATGCTGGTGAGAGTGACATGTTGCCTGGCTAGTGTCTGCGTTCTGGTGCCGTCCGTGCCTTTGGGGGCTGGAGGGGGAGTGACCTTAGGGAAGAGAGATGCTTACTTGTGCTCCTCAGGCCTCGGTCTGCGTTTATGCCTCCTGGGACAGTGCTGCTCCCACCAGTGTTGAAAGACCAGTTTTAAAAATTGCAGCGAGTAGAACTACTCTGTTTTCCATCGCACTGCACAGGCTTCTCATCGCGGTGGCTGATTGTTGAGGCGCAAGGGCTCCAGGGGCGCAGGGTTCGGTAGCTGCTGCAGGTGGGCCCAGGACTCTAGAGCACGGCTCAGGAGTTGTGCTGAGCAGGCTTCGTTGCTCTCTGGCGTGTGGGATCTTCCTGAATCAGAGGTCGAACTCGTGTTCCCGGTATTGGCAAGCGGATTCTTAACCACTACCACCAGGAAGGTCTTGGAGTGATACTTTTGTAAAATAAGGATTACTAGGAAAAGAAACTGAAAAAGACATTTAGGAAGCAAACTTGGATTTTTTGTTATTAGATTCAGTGGGTATAAAATCACCCTGTCACATTGCCATTCTAAATGCTTATTCTCAGTCTCTACTTAGTTTTGAATTCAGACTACTCATGGTCTGGTACACTTTGAGAGCAATAATCTAGGAAGAAACTTTGTTAAGCAAATTAGTAAACAGGACACTTTTGGAATATTTACATTGTTCGAGAGTAAAAACTGTCTTTCAGTTGGCATTTAAAAAACTGTAGATGTGTGTTTGTGTAATCTAATGACAGACAGCATCTTTCAATAAAGAACTCTTCCAAGAACTGAGGCTGATATTGTGAGGGATCCATGAGTTTAAAACTAGTAGCAATATTTGGAAAAAGTGGTGCTTTAAACTTCCTCTGTTCTTCTGAGAATCACTATTTCTTTTGCTCATTTAATTTGTATTAGTTTGTTTTCTCTGTTAACATTTGGCTTGCCTCTGAATTGCTTTTTGTGTTTTGGTGCATAATTTTATGTATATTCTTTTATGGGGTAGTTTCTTAAACAAACTGCAAAAAGGAAGTCCCGGTCGTTGCATGTGCTGGCGCGGAGATCATGGGGTAGCTCAGTGGTTCTGATTCAGGTTTGAGTTTTGACTCGCGCCGCCAGAGTGTCTTATATTTTGGCCTGATTTTACTTTTGCTGCTGTTTCCTTGCACCGAGGTCATTTGCCGAGTTGTTCCCTTAGGCTCGACTTCTCTCCCTCCTTCGGGCTGAGCCCAGGAGCTGCTTACCCCCAGCCGGCCTCTCCTGTCCGGACGCCCCCACCTCTGCCGTGCACCCCCTCGTCACACATCACAGGACGCTCAGGCCCCACGCACGGCGCGCTTCCCCTTGCTCCAGAGTTGGGACTTCTTCTGTAGACCACTCTGCTTGCCTCACCTTCCAGACAGCCGGTTCCCAACCCGGATCTTCTGGGGCTGGGCAGAGAGGTGCCCCCCACTCCAGCTGCGACGAGGCAGGGAGGGCCCTTTGTGCGCGTCTGCAGTCCTTTGCCCTGGGTTCCCGGGGCACTCGCACCACTCAGCTGCAGACTGCCCGTGCTCGGGTTTTGAGCCTGTCATCGTGAGGTCCCCTTTTTTACACACTGCTTGTAATCTGACAGACTTGGATACTCAGTCATTGTCCCAGGCCTCTTTGGAAGCGAGATCTTCAGAACCCGCACTCGTAGGAACCAGAGCTGTGAGCCCCAGAATTGCACATGGGGCCAAAGCGGGTGTTTCAAGGAGACGTTCGGTTGTCTCCACTGGTGATTCTCCGATGGCAGGGGAGGGGACGGGTCACCTTCATTCAGCAATGACCACCCAGCAGGCTGGATTGCACAGGAGGTTTCTCATGAGGAAAAAGATCCTGCTTTTAAAGAGGGGAGGCACTTTGAAAAATCACATTTAGCCCAAGTCAGACTCTGGAGAGAGTGATACTGTGTGTCTTCTCCCTGCCCCCTTTACGGGAAAACAGGCTTGGGCTCCATATCTGGCCCTTCCGTGTCTTCGGTAGGTACGGGGACCTCGGCTGGGTTATTTAACTTCCCTGAACTTGTTTTCTCGTCTGTAAAATGGGGGGAATGTGGTCTCTTTTGAAGCATTATGATGAGGATTAAGGTGATGCCTGTGCCAGACTTGGAGTGTGGGCTCGATGGGTGAAAGCCACCTGCACGCTAACGCAGGAGAGGCTGTGACCCAGCGCGGGAGCCGCTGCCTTTGCGTGGCTGGCCACAGTCCTGGTTCTCAGCCTGAGCGGGCGTCAGGATCACCTGGAAGACTGTTGTAACTGCAGCTTGCTGGGCCCACCCGCCCACCCTGGTGGTTTGATTCATTTGGTCTGGGGTGGGGCGGGAGAAGGTGCGTCTCTGAATTTCCAGGTGACACTGCTCCTGCCTCCGCTGGTCTGGGGACCACACTTTGAGAACGACTGGGCTGCAGGTAAACTCACCGATGAGCTTGTAGGTGCTGGAGCTGTGTTTGAAAGCCGAGCTTTCATGTGGTTAGAAAATGCTTGAAATATGTTTTACAAACACTGAATTTAGTATCTCAAGGATTTTTTGCCTCCTGAAGTCCAGGAGTCTTCATTAAACATATGTGAAGAAGAGTAAGTTGCGAGAGTAACAGTTAAAAACATATTATGGACAGTCTAACAATATCATATTGGCTGAGGTATGTGAAAGTGCTTTTATAAAATGCTGAAAACTGCAAAAAAAATTTATAAAAATTAAAATATTTCAATATTTTAATTTTTAAAATTGAACATCATAATGGAGTATATAAAATAGTGTAACTTAGAGTTCTCATCTCAATGTGCTGTTTACCGTGTGTATTTTTCTCTTTCTCCTCCAGGCTGCTGACTTGAGTAAACCAATAGATAAAAGGATATACAAAGGAACACAGCCTACTTGTCATGACTTCAACCACCTAACAGCCACAGCGGAAAGTGTCTCTCTCCTAGTGGGCTTTTCCGCAGGCCAAGTCCAGCTTATAGACCCAATCAAAAAAGAAACTAGCAAACTATTTAATGAGGAAGTAAGTAGCACCCTGTCTTAGCTGTTAAGAACCCCTATAAGAATGTATACGTTCTTACCGAGGGTATGGGCCTTATAATTTTACTCTGTGAGTGAAGCCCATTTTCCATCTTCAGCTGTCCTACCTAGTATTGCCCAAGTTTAAATGTGGTGCGTTAACTTGTTGACTTTTACCTATTCTTTTATTGGGCTAACTGTTTTTTGTGTATTTTTTTATGTTCAGGTGTCTATAGCAGGTGTTTTAAGAAAAATTGTTTTTATAATGGAGATAAGGACGAGACTAATAGCTTGATCTTTATATAATTTAAATAAGAAGATAAAGAATTCTAGACTGTATTCACATTGCCAGAAAATTTCATGCAGCTCACAGAACTTGCTCATATGTCCTTAGGCTTCGCAGATGGTAGATAAAGTTTTGATGTGTGTGTTTGACAGGCATACATCTGAGAATTTGCTCTCTTGCTTTTGAAAGCGCTTGCTCTGGCGTCACCTCCGATGTGGTTAGACGTCCCGGCACTTGAGACTGGCTGCCGTGGCGCAGCCCCTGCCTGTGTTGTGCTGTGTGTCCTGGGATTCCTGGTGTCTCCAGTCTCATTCTTGAAGGAGCCCGAGAGATCTGAGCTGTCTGCTCAGGAACATGTCAGAACCTTTAAACCTGGGCAGACGGAAGTTGCCAGATAGATTATATCTTTAAAGGCTGTTGGAGTGGCTTTCCAGTCCAAGTATCGCCATTACATATCTGACACACTTCCTCTGCTGTTTGAGTGTGACTTTCCTAGTAAATGGAACAGACGAGGTCGGCTTGCTGAGTTAGAGGCCTTGGCTGCAGTCTCCTTGTAACCTCAGCCCTGTGGTGACGAGGGTCAGGTCACCTGAACCCCTGTCAGGAAGGGCAGGAGGTTTTGCATTGTTGCATGGTCTTAAAGTTATTAACTTGAAACAGAAGTACGTTATAGATTCTGGTTTTTAAGAAATAATTTTGTTTGGGAAGGAATACTCCACTTGACAAATTGCAGTTAAAACTCTGATTCTTTTGCAGTCCCTATGGTACATGCTGTCCATGTATACCCAGTGTCCGCCCACAGTGCTCCTGTTGGACTTTGCCAGTGGATTTGGTGAACTCTTTTGAAACATGCCATCTCCTCTTCTAGTTTCATCTGGGTTGACTGGAACAAAACTTGCCATCTGGACTGACAAACTAGAGAGGAAAAGTATTTAATCCCATTTTCTGTTAAAAAAAAAATCTTAAGCAGCGAATTATTCTGTTTACCTAAACATTTTATTAACAGCATCTGAGGGAGTGATTTCTAAGTATCTGGATGATTTTGAGAGGAGGATGGTGGCAGGGAGAGTGGGGACACAAAACTGTACTTCTCTGCGTTCTTAATAGAAATGGTGAATTTGGCATCCTTGTGGGGGTCTGTTTGTGTTTAGGTGGGGACGTTTTTTCAAGGGGGAGGGGATTGGAGCCATGTAGAGGGTGGTTGGTAAACAAGGTCGGGAGGCCACCCGGCTGTGGATGGCACAGAATGCCTCTTGGAGAACAAGAAGGATCTGTGTGCCGTCGCTGGGGGTGGGGGCGCGGCAGAGGCCCCGGGCCCTGAGCGCACTCGGGTGCGTCAGCTCGCCCCGTTCCTTACTCAGGACAGCTGGGAGCCATGGGCTGGAAAGCGGCTCCCCACCTCAGGGAGTGAAGCGGGGTTACCTCCTACTCTTTGTACATTTTATTTGGAAAGTGGCTGTTCAAAGTGAGAGGATTGTGTGTGGTTTAATGCCAACTTGGCATTTACAACTCAAGGCTAAAATTGATTGCCCTTCACAGTGAGGGTGTTCTTTGGCCATGTGGATGGCATTCTCATCAGATTTTGGTCAGGATGTCTCAGAGACAGGGTCATCGGAGGTTTGTTTCTCAGAGGGTGCAGGGGATGGTGGTCGAAGCAGTGGTTAGGCTGTGCTTTGCATTTGTGTGAGACTTGGAGGTTTCCGAGTATTTCACCTGCTTCCTCTGCAGGGAGGGCGGGTGGTTGTCTCTACCGTGCAGACAGGGAATTAGAGAGAGGGCAAGTGAGTCGTCCAGACCCGGCAGCAATTTGGTGATGTGCTTGGATCCAGGTATTAATTCCACGCGTCCTTACTGGCCATAGATTGTAAGCCCCATCATAGCTGGTTGCCATATGGGCCTTGTCACCTCCAGAACTCACTGTTCTGTGAGATGGACAGGGAGGATGTGAAACGTGTGTTATGAACAAAGTACCAAGAGAGGTGGGTGTTAACTGCAGTCTTTCGGATGTACCAGATATCATAAAATAAAAACAAAAATTTAGTGGGGGAAGTTTGAGAAAGCTTCCAGAAGGGGACATTTGACCTGGGTTTGAAAGATGCAGAGGAGTTGGAGGAGGATGAGAAGGGCCTTTGAAGCTGGCAAAAACAGCTTAGCATGTGGAGGAACATGAGGCAGACATAAGGGTCCAGACCTCAGTGCGTGGACCTTGGAGTGGCCAGAGGTGAAGCTGGACAGGTGAACCGGAAGCAGATTATAAAAGCCTTTTGTGACACGCTGAGAAATTTGGATCTGACACTGGAGGCCGTGGGGCAGCTTTTGGGGATTTACTTAATGAAGGGAGTGACAGGATTAAATATGTTTTTTTAGAACTCTTGTCAGCACTTGGGGAAGGTGGATTGGAATGAAGATAGCAAGACGAATGAGGAGGCTCTAGTGACTGTCCAGGTGAGAGCTGAGGACCTGACCCGGAGTTGGGGCCATTTCCTCATTCATTCCGACCGCGTGCAAAGAACACCTCCCCTGTATCTTCCCTTCAGAGAGGGGGGAGAAGTGTGAACAACGCCACACACACACACACACAAGCACACACGCACACACACGGCACGTGGTGGTGACGTGTGATGTCAGAGGAGACAGTGGGGCTGAGGGAGACAGACAGACACGCGGCCTAAGGGATAGGATGGGGGGCACGTCTCGGAGGAGGTGGTATGCTGTGAGCCTCGCCTCGTGTGAGAAGGCCCCCTCGGTGCAGAGCTGAAGCTGCAGCATTCTCACAGGAGGGAGGGCAGGGGCAGGCCCTGTGGGAATGAGCCTGGGGCCAGGAGACCTGGGCGAGGCGTGGAGTGAGGGCCTGGCCCGGGTCGCCGCTTGGCCTGCGTGCTGGGATCTCACAGGGGGGCAGCAGGTGGTCTGCTTGGTGTTTTTGCAGATTACTCTGGCTCCATCTTGGAGGCGGAGTTGGAGAGATGGATGAGCAGATGCTGGGTTTCTGGCCCACTTGGCGCGCTGGGTGAGAGGGAAGGAGCAGGTGCTGGAGCAGAGCGAAAGGTCAGGGCTCCTTTTCCTGCTTATCAAGCTTGAGAGGCCAGTGGGGGTTGGGTACGTGGATCTTGAGCTCCAGACTAGAGGTAAATTCTGGGAGCGGTCAGCATATAGGTAGTAATCACATCCCTGAGATGAGATGGCAGGTCTCCGGAGAAAGCACAATAAGAGCAAAGACATGTCTGCTGCATCCTGGACGTGTCTAGGACTGAGCCCTGTTTATACTCTGAGGTTCCAGCCATCTGTTCATTGCCTGCAAAGGGCATTTGCAACAGTTGGTTTATTACCATGGAATTTGCAGACGCAGAGTGCGGTGGCTAAGAACATAGGTCCTTGAACCTAAGCGCCCAGAGCGCAGACAGCAACTCTGCCCCTTCCTGCCCGCAGGGTGTGGGTCTGTTCCATTGTGTCTCCTCAGCCGGAAGGTGGACAGACCGGTCCCCAGCGGGAGGTGTGGTGAGGATGAGAGGTCTGGGGGCCTGCAGCACCAGCCCTGGGGAGAGCTCGGGGAAGTTTCAGCGCAGGGAAACCCGGAGGTTCCTTTAACCGGGGGTTGGGGGAAAAGCTGCCTGGGAGGTGAGGTAGCAGCAGTTTTGAAGGAGAAGCACAAATAATTTTCCACAACAAGAGGGTAAGAGCAGGGCAGCACAGTCAGAGAATGAACACTTGTCAGGTGATGGGGACTGTTTATCCTGACTGCGGTGTCTGTCTGTCTGTCTCACTCATCTGAGGGCTGCTCAGCCTCCCGGGATGCACGTGCCCACATGTGTACACACACTGCAGTACTGGGTACTCCAGCCTTGCCTCCTTTCTGAGGGTGTCTGCTACATGACAGAAGAGTAAATGTTTGGGTGGACGGATAGGTGGGTGGGTGAGTGGAAATGAAGTTCTAGAAATCCATGTTAGACCAAAGATGGATGAAATTTTCTGTCTGGGAATAGAGTGTATCTTAAAAGGTGATTTTTCTGCCCATTGAATAAAAAGTTTTAAATACTTGTTTATACAAAAAAATGGGACAGAGAGAAGTACAAAAAAGATGGGAAAACATGACCAAGTGCTCACTAGTAGCTTTATCATCTTTGTGATTTTTTATGTTTTCTAAGAGGTGAAATTGTCAGACTCACACCTTCCGTTAGGGATGCTGGCAGCCTTCACCTCCCGGTCTGGCCCTCAGTCCATCCAGTTCTTCTTGGGCATCAGAGGTGCCCTCTGGGCCATCCTGGCCATAGCAAGAGCTTGGCTGTGTGCCAGTGGAGCCCCGCTCAGGGGGACGGCAGGATCCTGCCCTTGTGGCCTCCCTTCAGGAGTGCCAGCCTGAGGGTTTCTCCTTGGTGAAACGGGCTTCGGGCTGCTCCTTGGTGTCGCCCCCGTCCCTCACGGGCCTTGGAGCATCTCATGTTTTCCGGTCGGTGTCTTGGCATTTCTGATGAGCTCCCAGACCATGCCCCGTCCTTCACAGTAAGAGCTACTAGTGGGGGGGTCACCCCGGTCAGCATTCAGCCTTGCGTGGAGCACCCCAATGGGGTGTGGATCCACTTTTTCATTACTAATGATTACAGTGTATTGGGGAGGAAGAGATGTAAAGTGGCAGTTTCTGTGTGGTGATGAACTCAGTCCTGTTCATCTTTGTAAAAGTTCTGATTATATCAGGACTGTGTCCACCGAATAGCAACTTG